TTTTTTTATTGCATGTTAATTTTGTTCCCTTTACGTTGGAATAGTTGAAGTTGTACTTTGATTAGTTGAATTCGTAGAGATACCACGTGATAAAGATAGTATAGAGGCAACTGAAGTATTATCATCATATTGAGATTCTATATCCGTTTCATTACATGTATTTTCTGTTGTTTCATAAATATCTTTCAAATTTTGATCAATGTAAGATACTTTTGCATCAGTATCACTGTCAGAGTTATTAAATTCTATAGTTTCTTGGTTATTATCAACATTAACAGTTTTGTTGAATGACAGAGTAGTTTGTCATGCATTATAACATTTGCATGTTTTTCACAAATATTTATGCATTATCGTTCTTAATCGATTTTTTTATCTTTAACTCTAAGGGCATGCATGTAGTAATCGCACATGCCATATATAGAATACAGCTAAACACGAAAAACTAAATTAATACTTGCATAATAAATAAAAAAAGCAGCAATGAATACACGTCGCCTCTACTAAAGATCGACGCGCACACAATTCAAGCGTACAATTTCGGATCACGTCCTCGCTTAATAAAGCCAGACTGTTTCTCTCGATAATCATTCACAGCTTCTTGCTTTACATTCAATGCTGATGATGAACTGGTATTCGTTGTTGGCTCAAATGATTCTACTGTTGATGCTGGCTGTTTACCAGCGGAAAATGCTGAAGTTCTTGGTTTCACTCCGTCTTCAAAAGTTATGTATATAAGATTACCATGACTAAAAAGATACGATACGAGTTCGTGATACTAAGAAAAATCTGACAAATCATAAGGAATATTTTCTATGCGTACTTTATTCTTAACTGAGTAATGCTATGCTTTGTCTGGAAAGATATTTCGCTTGTACACTATTTTGCGGGTCTTTTGATATTTTAAGTGTGGACAGATCAAATCTGAGTTGGATTGCAATCTTGATGGAAAAGACATTTGTTTAGCTTCAAAAAAAATAAAGTTCATATTCATGACTTAAAGCAAAGATCCTCACTTTTTCTGCTAACGTCATATGTCGTCATTTGGATCAACCTCAAAGCGACTCATCCCTCTTTAGATCGAATGCGTACAATCTTGAGTTTCAAATAGAAATCAGCAATTTAGTAGATCGTCACTTACTTGATTTTATTATCGTTATTCAAAAAATAAAACCAAATATTTCCCGTAAAAGATTCTTCCTCAAGAGGGGAATAAGAATATTGACTAATTAATGAAAGTGACTTTGGAAACAGAAAATCGAAATTGATCGAGTAACTCGATAAAGTCGGGTATATGTCAATAAATTAACAATAATTGTAAAAAGACGCGATGTATATAGTATTAATATTTTCACTGATATTACATACTGTTGGAGGGAACTTTTTACAACTCAAACTTTTGCTGTTCAAAATCCTCCGAACCTTTTTTTAACAATAATGATAATAATTTAGCAACGCATTATTCAGCAATAACATATTCAAAATAATATTATTATTATTAATTTACCCCCCCCCCCATCAACTTTGCCATTTCCGGATCCAATCCTTCACCCTCATTACCCTTATTGTCTGCAGCTGCATTTTT